CCGGCCCGCACTCGAGGAATCATGGGTACGGTGTTCCCTCAGCTCCCTATACTCTGTTTCACCTTTTGTTGTACCGCAGGAAAAGCTATAAGCGCGAGCTCCTTGCTCTGGGGCAGATCTCGGAGGCAAAAGCTCTCGCGTAGTAAGAGCAGCTGTCAACGCTATAAACTCGCGCTTCCAGCCTTCGCTGCGGTACAACATAAAGTGAAACGGAGTATAGTGACCGCCAATTTTCGACCAACTCCATTGTTACACAGTTCTTGAGCGTAATTCGGAGTCACCCTGAACAAGCGCCTGATATACCCCAAGGACCTGTAATATCACTTTTAAAATTGCTCGTCAATGTTATCATTTTTGATGCTGAGCATGCGATCCAACTTTCAACCTGGCCTGAGCTGCAGAAATCTCTTACAATATTATCATTCTCGTGATTGTTGTTTCAGCAGGAATTGCTTAAAAAGCCGATAATTCACAACAACAAAAACCAGGATTTAGCTCGGAGTCCGCGGGGATGTTTATAACATTTTTATCGTTTCTAACTTAATATCAGCATGATAATAATGGAAGAGATTTCTGCAGCCCACCCAGGTTGAAGGGTGGACAGCATGCACAGTATAAAAAACGCTGACATTGACGAGAAATTTTAAAAGCGATATGACAGGTCATTGGGGTACATCAGGCGCTTGTTCAGGGTGACTCCGAGTTACGCTCGAAAGCTGTGTAACCAAGGAGAGGGTCGAAGTTACCGATCACTAAGGAGCTGAAGGAACACCGTTCCCATGATTCTTTTGGCGCGGGCCGGGGCACTTGGGGGATATAGCAAATAGTCTATTAAGACAGCGTCAACCTAATGTCCTTTTTGTTCCGCAGTTAACGGACGAACCCGGCCGTAACTGCGGCCGGCCGGGTTGCCGCCATAGCAGCGGACTACGGAGTGGGTGTTGCCTCACAGCGATCAGCAAGGTAAGTCGAAAACCACCTTTTGCAACCGACGAGTTACGGAGTGTTGCCGTTGGGCGGTTGGTGGAAGCAGCCAAAAGTAGCGATTTTATTGTCTTGGCGCCAAAAATGTCGCCACCGTTTTTTCTAAAAAAAAAATTGTCATACGAAGTGGTAAAATTAGGCTATGTACAACCTTAATCAACGTGAATAAGTGCTTCCACATCTAGAGTAATTGAGGGTAAGTTTTTAAGAAGCTCGATGGGCACGTCAAATGTGGAGGTCGTTTCCTCTTGCAGCTTCAGCCCGAACTTTAGTTTCAGAAACGCCACAAGGACATTCAGCTTCCCCTTCTTTCTCAATTGAATTTTTGTTAGTGAAACTTGAGAAAACACGCGCTCAGAATCCGCATTCGATATTGCAAGCGACGGCAGTCTTAGCGTACCTGCTGCGAGTTGTGGAGAAGGGCACAGAAAAGCCCCTGCAAGCGGCCGCTCCCTGCCAGTAAGCAGGTTGTATGGTCCAGTGGGCTAGAAATTGACTGCAATAATTTCTGACTTCGAAGTGCGGATGAAGAATTAGGAAGCTGTAGTTGCATCTGGACTGCCACTTGCTTTAAGATAACATTTTTTTTATCTTCAATTGGAAGTTTCGACAGCTTATATATCAGCTTGCACTTGCAGAATTGGCACTTGACGGCCTTTCCGCTGTTAGCAGATTGCACCCAGCCAGTAAGAAGTATTGACGAAAAAAATACGGGTGAATAACAGCGTGGCATTGACGCAGCATTAATGTTTTTATACACGGCGTGGCAAAAAGAAAATTTGTAACGAAGCTTACCATTAATCTTGCTGTTTTTTCGCCACTCGCCGCGGAAGCTTCTTTTTACGCTGGCGTGCTTTCCCATGGCCGATTGCCTTCCACAGCGAATCGGCAAAAATGATGGAGGATTGCCTTCCACACTTACCGTTTTGGCCATGTGATTGCCTGAACATTCAGTATCGTGATAGCCGGGAAGAGTCAAGTGTTTTGCTTATCATTTTTGAAGCCCGTAGAAACGATACCGCGTCTAGGCAAGAGGGACAGGCCCAGAAAGGGGACAGGCCCCTTTCTGGGCCTCTCCCTCTTTTTCCCCTTCTCCACTGTTTATTGTCGTTATCCTGCCACCGTGACTGGCTTGGCCTGTCACAGTGGCTCTTGCCATTCCTCGTGGAGTCGGGATGTGCACTCGTGTTTCCTACCCAAACACCTCGAATCGACCATTTACCCCCCACCCCCCCCCCCCCCCAAAAAAAAAAAAAAAAAAAAAAAAAAAAAAAAAAAAAAAAAAAAAGAAGGTAGATTTGTTTCTGAGTTAGCGAGAAGGAAGAAACCGTAGCGGCCGTGTTACGATGGGACTTCGTCGTCTTCATTCAGCAACTGCCAAGACGCGCAGCCTCAGCTCTGGCCACGCCCCACGCACTGTTCCTGGTTCAGCTAGTGACATGTTCGGACGGCTCATAGCTCACCACCAATCGCTTGCAGTCTTTTCTTGTAAATAATATGTAAATAGACCACCAATTAAAGGGGCTGTGCAACAATTTGCGGACTTTGGCTAATTAATTGCGGGAATTGATCCCGGCCACATATAAAACGAAGGACCGAAAACTACTCTTTCCTGCTTGCCCTAGTTTTCATTAAAAAAATAAAAGAAATTGGTATCTCTGGCACCCCTCAACTCAACATTGAAGCGGCACATGCTTCGCCTGTGACGTCATTCGGAGTGGCGTTGGTTTCCGGTTGGGTGCTTCTGGCTTCCGTTTCCCCAGCGCTCGCCGGATCGCCAAGCCTCGCCGCTCTCCCGCTTTCCCGCCGATTCCCGACCAACATGGCGGCATGGGCGGACGGCCTGAGCGACGTCGAGCGCAAGATGCTTGCGACGCGACGGGCAGTCGAAGTCGAAGTCGAGGTCGAGACACCAGTAACAATAACGATACCACGATACTACGGACCACGACCAACGCACTCCGTCGAGCGAGGGAAAGACAAAACGTCCGGGTTGCTCGTGTAGCCGCCGTAGGTGCCTCGGGCGTCGACGGATGACGGCGACGGCAGGTTTTGTTGACTTGCGGTAGATGGCGCCACAAATAATTCATACCCTTCTAGCGGCAATATTAGGCTTTTGAAGCGCTTCTGCATGCCTAAACAACAAGATTTTTTAAAACTTAACCTTAAATCAAGCTTACAATTGCCTAACACTATCACTTACAAAAACCACTCCGAATGACGTGATACCACAGGTTCCATTTACGGCCACTATGTGGCCGCAGGTTGGGAAAAAAAGCGTTTTTTATTTTACGATTACGCAGCGAAATAGAGGTATTTTGGGGTATGGTGGCAGTTTTTCTCTTCCTTATGCCGAAGTAAACAATATAAAAAATACAAGCTGCACATTCGTTCAGTGCTAAAATCATTCCACCGCCCCTTTAACACTGGTGACGAGGATGGACTTGAAATGATCGGGAACCAACCTGGCGGAGCACCTTAGCTTCTATCCATTTCGGTTGTCCCGCGAATCCCTTAATAAAGACGGCTTTGAATTTGCAGCCTTCTTCACCTTCCTTACCCCGCGGACATCAATTCTGCTGGTGTTTTCCCAGTTGTTGAGCTTGGTGTTGTATGGTGCTTAAACAAGAACCGTGCCAAGCTCAACAACTGAGAAAACACCAGCAGAGTTGATGTTTGGAAGCATCTGCGGGTTAAGGAAGGTAGAAGTCTGCAAAGATGCTAAGTTCAGCAATTCTCAAGCCGTCTTTATTAAGGGTTTCGCGGGATAACCGAAATGAATAGAAGCTAAGGTGCTCCACCAGGTTGGTTCCCAATCATTTGAAGTAACAACTTCAGATGGAAGAATACAAAGAAGGCACATCAACGAAATGCGAAGTCGGTTAGCCCAACATTCGGAACAATGCAGTTCAAAGTCGTCGACCAACCGAGACGGAATGTCCAACGCGCCTGAATGTCCAACGTGCCTGAATATCCATTATTGGATCTTCCGTCTCGTTGGACATTCAGGCTCGTTGGACATTCCGTCTCGTAATCTTAAACCACCTGCGACTGGATTGTTATTCTTCAACCATAAGCGGTTAATAGCAAGTCCGCCGAGGTGAGGTCGAATGGTTAAGCGTCAGATTACCCGGGGCTCTGCAGCCCGGGTTCCGGACGTCAGCTAGTTGAAAACACATTAGCAAAATATTCATTTTAGTACTTTATCGTTAGAAGTTGGAACCGCATTCCTGCAAGATAAGTCGTGATTTGATAGAACTGAAACGCGGTCCGATCCGAAACCTTGCCGGCCAGCAGCTCTCACGCGAGCGGTAGATCTGGTCGGCGTACCTTGCTCCTGCTTATGGCTTAGAACACGCTAACTCCGTTAATCGTAGTCTGCTGCTTCGATATTGAGTCGTACAATAGGATAAACTCGAAATTGGTTGCCCTGTTCCTCCGCGCAACTGCACCTCCGTTGCTTACGCACGTCACGTGGCTCGCACATATAATTGCTATGTCGAGCACGTGTGGGTTCTGCGATAAGCAGTGCTGGTTTGCATTTTGAGCAGCTGAAAGCCACTCAGAAAATATAAAGGGCACTATCTTCAGAAACATATGGTGCTTGCTTTTCGATTCTCATTAAGGCTCACAACGTTTCAAGTTTTCGCATCTGTTACACTGTTATCCCATCTACCTAGGTTCCCAACAACTAATGTTCATCTGTGCTGCTAAGCACAATTGAAGTTGCTCCCGTCAGATTACCCGGGGCTCTGCAGTGCAATGGAAACTGATTTGAGCTGCTCCTAGCCTGCTCCAGAATGTAGTTTTAGCTGCTCCGAACCTGCTCCAAAACAGCTGTTTCAGCTGCTCCAACGGCTGCTCCCAAGTACATTTCATGAGTTCCATCCCTGAATTTGGAAGACTCCCCGGTACCAGTGAACATCACGAGGGATGCGGTTTGCAAATAAGAAAGAAGCGTCTTCATGGGCGCTGGGGCCTGACGGCGGGTAAACATTTCTTTCACGCAACTTGCAACCGTGTTGCAAGTTAGCTCAGTGTCTTCTCTCTTGGGCGCCCTTCGTGTGCGCCGTGCTCAACGCCTGCCGCCTAAAGTCTCTGAGGTCGGATGTACCGTTGCACGCAGGCTGTGCTGGCGTACGGCCAGACCGGGTCTGGGAAGACATTCACTATGGGCACCAGCTGCGCATCTCGAGCCATGGCGGAGGACACCGGTATCATACCGCGCGCTGTCCAGGACATTTTCGCTGCCGTCGGCGAATGTCGGGCCAGCAAGGACTTCCTGGAGGTGGGTGCGTACGCGAGGAAACATTCAGGCTGCAGTCGTGCCGCCGATGTGCAACACGGCGATCGCCGTCCAAGAAGTCTCATTCGAACGTCGCTAGTTTCCTGACGGTTCTGTTGCGGCTGCTGCAAACACCGTGTCTTTTGTATGAAAAATACGTGGGACTGCGGGTTAAATGGACGGGGTATTCCTGCGTGCGGGATTTAGAATGTCTAGCATTTACGAATTACGACGAGGCACATACTTTGTTTCACCTTATGTTGTACCCCAGAAAAGGCTAGAAGCGCGAGCTCATAGCGTTGGGAGCTGCTCTTAAAGGGCAACTCCGCTTCATTTTTGGTTTTGAAAATCGCCTACACTCTAAGAAAAAAGGCAGGAGAAAGGTAGCAACGGCGACTGTTCCTCCTTGTTGCGGACAAGTTGCCCAGAGAAGGGAGGAACGACAGTTCAGATGAAAGGAGGAGGATGAGTTCCTCCTTAGATAAAAAAAAAAGAAAAGTTCAGTTGGCGCAGTGGTAAAACATCGCGCTACCGATCAAGTGGTCAACGGATCAATCCCCAGAAGAGCGGGTATTTTTTTTTTTTTGTAAGGTTTTTTTTAAATTTTTGTTTACCAAAACACGCATAAACAAACCCAGACCGATGAAAGGAAAATTAAAGTCCTTATTATTCTCCGAGACGTTTTCCTCCTCCAGGCAGACCGGAGAAAGCTTTCGCCCTCCCGACTCATCTTCTTTCGGTTTCGTTTTTCGAGGACATTGCGCGCGTTGTTTAATAAATTAATGTTGAGTTCATTGAGCTTCAGCGGCAGCGAAGGCTGCCTGTAATTCCGTCGTCTAGTCCAAACGCGCAGAACATTTCGGTTGCATTGACGTTTTTACCACTAATTTTATCAAACGAGCTAACGAAGAAACAGCGAAGTTCCGGAGCAGGGCCAGCAGCGCTACATACACTGGGTAAGACGGCCGTCTCCAATTTGCGGGACACACGCGGAACTACAGCAGCGAAACCACGAGGAACTGTGTCGACGTTTTCGACGTTATGGAAATCGCGGTAACTGCGTCCAAGGAAGGCAGGTTTTCCTGCCGGCTGCCTGGGTGCCTTCCGTGCTGAGTTCGGTTGTGCTGTCCCGTGTCGAGTGCCAACCGGCGTTCAACGTGATTCTTCTGCTTTTCAGCAACATCGTCAACGTGGTTCTGTATTTCTTCGTGTCAGCGACATCGTGATGGCAGTGTTGTGGGTTGTGAACAGAAGACTGGAATTATCGCCTATGTGACCGTGTGTTCGCGTATCAGTGGTGTAACAACAAGATGAGATGACGTAAACTGTCGGGCATTGATGCCGCTGGTCGGGCCGTTATCGGAGGGGGCGGGGTGTCGCAGGACGACATTCCGCTTTACATTAAAGAGTTTAAAACCACTTGAGGGATTAGGTGCAGTCGATCGACGTGTGGATAGTCATTTTGGAACGCTGGTCTGAACGGTAAGCTCCTATCGTACAGTCAGTACAGTGGCCAATGTGACTGTGGGTCCCCGAGAGCGATTGCGCTCTGGGGAAAAGACAACATTACGAAAGTATGACGGAAAGTACGTATATTTATAATGGAAGTTTAGCATAAAAAAAAAACAGGCAAAATTGAAAAAAAAAACGCTATCCTTTATTTTACTGTTTAAATATACGGTTCCTGTAGAAACTGCCCTCTAAGTGGCGCGCTGGGATGAGCGCTAGAAGTTTTCGAGCTCGCAACGGCGTAGCTCCGTACACTTAACAGTTGTCGCAAGTCACGGCTTTGACTGCATTCAAGTTGATCGAGAAGCGATTTCTCTGCCCGTGAAGCATCACTTCCAGCTGAGTGAATATCCGCTCTACAGAAATTAATTCAAGACTGCAATTGCAGCTTTGCGCGAACAGCACAAATAGAAAAACGAACACAACAATATAAATACTGGCTACGAAGGGCCATGCGGGAAAACAAACTCATGGCTTGGAACCACATTGGAGCGGCTCCATTTATTGGCTTTCAAATAATTATGGCATGATCGAGCGTCTTCTTTTTAATAAGAGATTCATCCCCTGAGCCATTAAAAATAGCCTCAGATGTATGACATTGCTGGAAAAAAATGAACATGTTCGGAATATTTTTTATTGCTTAGGGAGTCACCGAAAAATTCCGTAGGTTCAAAACGACCACTATAAAAGACGGAAACGCAAGGCTCGGTAGTAGTGATCGGGGTAGTGTGCTGTTGTATTGATGTTTGTATGTGCAATGCCTGTGTATGCGTTCAATATATGTTGACCTGATGCTTGTAGTGTGCGCAACGTGTCTACATGTGTTAGAGATTCCGAAGAAAAAGAAACGCGATTGTGGCGTAAGAAAATAAACATTTTTTGTAAAACATGAATTGGGCGGTACTTAGCGCCACCTAGCCTAGCTACGTGCAATTACTCTGCTTGACCCTGCCATCTGGTGGGAAGCGATTTGACATCCTTTTACGCTACGCGGCTACGCCAGAATTTCGTGTTACCGTGCTGAGAAAAGCCAAGAGGTTGCTTCGGATTTGCTTTTTTTTTTTTTGAGAGCGGCTTGGCGGCTTTTGGTTTTGCCGGCGAATGATTTTCACTTCTCGGTGATGTGCGGTTGACGTAACGGTTGACGTAACGGTTGACGAAGGAATTGTGGCTCGAGGAATAGCAAAGGTAAGACAAAGTGCGCGAACTGGGTGCCGGTTGTCTCCGTTGAACATCGCAGTGCTGACGATGAGAAGACTGAGTGACTGCATGCTTTCAAAACGTAAGTTTCTTTACCTGCAGAGGTAAAGAAACTTCGGAAATAAATACAGTTCGCGGAAAGCTCGTGTTACGTTTTTATTTGGTGCTCCTCTCGCTTCGTGCAATAGACTTAGTGTTCTCGTTAAGCCTTATCGAGCTCGATTTGCTCGATTCGTGGCCGCCATAATGAGATGCAGTCGACGGAGGAACTTTTGCTCCCCTGCTTAAGGGACGAAAGTTTCTCCCTTTCTGAAGGAACATATGTGTCAAGAGCGTTCCTCCCTTTAGGGAGGACTATACTGACCCTTTTTTCTAAGAGTGTAGGAAGACCACACGTCAAATATTACGACGCAGTTCTGTCTAAATGTTTCTTAAACGGTCCTGCAAACTTTGCAACTCGCCAAGTGGCCGAAATCGGTTGACTCGAGCGGGCGAATAGACCGATGTCACCAAGCGAACTGCGCAGGCGCGCGCATTCCGGAAGTGGTGCCGCCGCCATGCTACTTGTAGTCATCCCTTTCTGGCTTCGTCGTATATTATCGTTTGGAACATAACATCGTATATTATCGTTTGGAACGCTCCGGTATCAGCTTGGATTCTCCTGCATATCTGTGCCTTATAAGATTGTGTTGTTTGTGATTGCTTAGTTTGCCAGCAAGCGCAGAGAAACTGTTCAAGTCGTCTTATTGTTTTAGGATCGCTTTGGTCGTCTGCTTCTTCGTCTTCGTGAACGCTTGAGCACACTGCCGTTTACGCAGTGGTCCCACTGCGGCCGCAGGAGAAAAACAACGACGCTCTACTCGAGCTTTCCGGCTTCTTGGACGGTTTAATTAACTTGGAAACAAGTGAAGATCTAGTTTAATGGCAAAGAACAAGAAAATTCGAGGGACCATCGGCTTTGTGTAGCACCGCGGAACAGCATCAAATGTCTTGGTGAAAAACTAAGCTTGGTAGTGCTCAGTCTTGTGCATAACGTTTAATCAACAATGAAGTAAGAATAGCTAAATAGACTTTCTCGGTGGGCGATAGTTCTCTAAAAGTTGTTTTATTCTAGTTGACAGCCTGTGCGACAGGGTGCAGATGAACTTCGGGGAGAAGCCTGCACACAGAAGAAATGATCTACAGAAAGGCCATGCCTGACGCGCCGTAACAACTGACATTTGTCAAAAAGAAGCAACCATGCAAGATACCTGAAAGCTGGGGGTGGGGATGATTTTTCGTGTAGTTTCTATTCAGTTTTATTTTGTTTGCGCCAGCTCCGATCGCTAAGAGTCGCCCAATGGTGGAAGCTTTTTTCTGCGGTCTCGATTGGTGTTAATGCAGAATGGATCAGTAACACCAGTTACATTTTTGGCGCTGAGTGTTGCACTTCTAAATTGCATTATGTGATGTTTTCACATTTTGTATGAAAAAAAAAAAATGAAGACCGCTTTCGAAAAATGTTGTTTTATTGGAAGTGATGCATATCGAGAATCGCTTTTTTTTTTTAGTGATTGTCCTGATTTTTTGAGGCGCAGTTGTGCTTGAAACATGTCGTCGCATTAGCAGTTATAACCACCAAAATACACCGAGCAAAAAGTGTATTAAAAACGGCCACAGCAAAGCAGTGGAGAAAGACCAACGCATAGACCGCTACGGAGCGAATTCTCAGAGAGATTCCAACGTACGGAACACTTCGGCATGCTCTGTGTCTCGTGCCCTGTGATCTTATACTTTTTAGCTGACGTGCAATAGGTGGATATAAATTATGAAGCAAATCGCGAAACAAATCGAAAAACGCTATTTCTCCTTCCGTTCTGTCCGGCTCTGTTTACCTTTCTTTGTCATGCTGCTTTCGGGAAGACATAATATCCGAGGCCTTTTTGCCTGTAGTCACCCAATGAAAACCATGAGTAAACACCCGCCTAAAAGTCTCGTGCCAACCCGAAAATTTCCAAATGCCGGGAGGGCGGACAATGTGCATTGACGCGGCCGGAAAACTGGGGAGAACTACAGGTACTAGAATGCACCGCGGCAGCGGTGGCGTCGCGCAACTCCTGGTGAGGTCGGTCTATTCAGGCGCAACCAACAGCGCAGTCAAGGCTACGGCATGGCCGGAGCCAACATTGAGCTAAACGTCATCATCATGGCCCCCTTTTGCTCGTTTCTCCGATCGAGCGTAGCGCATGACGTCAGCAACGTTGCCTCTCGGCGCTCAGCGGTGTCTACGTGATTGGCGTACGCGCCTGCGCAGCGCGCTTCTTGGCAGCAGACCAACCGCCCGCCGTGGTCCCGCCGTGGTCCCGCCGTTACCGCCGTCTTCCGCGTCACAACCACGGTCGTCGTCTCACCGCTTGTGACTATTGCTTCTCGGAGTTTCGTCCACATTATGGACACCACGTGCGCAGAGTCGCAGACTTATGCCGCAGTTGTGCAGACGTCGTCGAATGCCGTAGACACCAAAACGTGGCGAAGAGTGCGGTGCAGACGACACTCGCGCCTGCCGCACTCCCGCCCCCATCCCGCCCGTCGTTGGGCCGAGGATCACGTGACATCTCGTACCACGTGATGGCCATGTACTTGGCTGCCCGAGGCCAATGTTGCCGGACGGAGCCGAAGTTTCGGTTTCGATTTCCGCTCGTGTTTAAAATTAGATTTAAAAATATATATCCCATTTTTCGCGAAGCAAACGACGTAGTGTCTTTTACTAGGGCTTTTTAATTCGAAATCACTCATTATGCCGAAATCTTCGGAATTGAGCGGAGTTGCCCTTTAACGCACGAGAGCTTATGCCGCCGAGAGCTCGCGCTTGTAGCCTTACCTGCGGTACATCATAAAGTGAAACAGAGTATAATCTGTCGCCGCCCGCTCTGCCAGTCATGTGACCTAAAATTCCCCTTGAAGGGGAAATTTAGATTTTAGCGGTTAACTTTCCGTCGCGGTTAACGTTGGCCAGCTTCAAGAGCCCCGGAGTACCAAAGGCATTTCTTGACCTTCTCAATTTTCTTTTCCGTTCCCACCCTTAAGTAGACCGCTCGCTCGGTGTAAGCTTTATTTTATCGGATCTGCGCCATTCATTGTCGCGTAACTGTGGGGGAAACGTTCCTTTTTATATGCGTTTATCCTTACAAGGCCTGTAGGCTCTGCTGCATTAATGCCAAGATCGGGAGGAGCTCCTCTAGATCAGTTTGACCCCTGCCATAAAGATTCTACTATAACTCCTTTCCATAATGCCCCAAGGTGTTCTGTTTCAAGTCCCTGCAAACTTCTGGTCGAACGAGAGGAGAAGCAATTCCCATGAGGACGCTGCTCTTTGCAACAACCATAATTTATTTCGTCACTAATTCGACCAGTGCTTGGCTAAAGAACCATTTAACGAAAGGTTTTGTCGACAAGTTTCGGGTGCTGCTATAAGACAGCCGAGCAACTGGTGGGATAGGTCTAATGGCATAGCAGAAAGACCTCGCTAAATCTCCCACTTCGCAGTTTCTATACCACTTGCACGTCCTACCTAGGAATTGGTCTTTTCTGTGGCACCTACAGAAAGCGTCTTATACAGGCGAAGTGGTGACTATGCGCTGGCATTCGATCGAGCCTGCGTGTTCCCGTTTTATTCGCAGATCTACAAGGAGGACATCCTCGACCTCCTCAGAAGCCAGGATCCACTCGCCACCTGCGAGGACAACAGAAGGTAAGGCAAAGTAGCTTCCTTGGGATCTTGAACAGTTTGCCGATCTTGAAGTGGCTAAAAAAATGTGGCATCTGCAGCATAGAGCTACTTCAAAAGCTGCACTTAGAGCATCGTAACTATTGGGAAATACAAACGCACCAATCTGCGATTAAAGCGCGAGACACATGCGCGAAAAATCCATCCGATCCGACGTCCGATCCGGTAATACGACTGCCTGATCCAAAAAAATTTGGTCGCTTCAGACGTCGGATCGGCAATCCGACATGCGTACAACGCGCCAGATAGTTTCGCACGGCGGACGGATTGTCGGATGCGTCCAGTCAATGACAGCACAGCTAGCGCGAACGTCATGATGACGTACTGGGTCTGGCGGGACGAACAAGAAAACGGGACGGGCGACGGGAAGCCGGACGCGTGGATCCCGCTGACCCGTTCGAGAAAGATGGCCCCTTCGAAGAATGCACGCGCTAGCGCGAGAACGCGCTCCTAACTTCGTGTGAGCTAAACCGTCAATCTAGGACCAGAGATCTATGAACACGGACCTCCGCTGGAGTGCTTGGATCCCCTGGGCGGAGCCCGACGGATCGTCGTGTCGCATGCAAGGTCGGAAGCGTGTCTCAAACTGTCGCGTACGGCGAATCGGAGCGGCGTTCGGACTGTCTGATCGCACGTCGGATCGGACGATTCTGCCGTCCGTGCGTTAAAAGTTAAGAGTTAAAGATTAAGAGAGGAGGAAGGGGGGGGGGGGGGGGGGGGTAGTCTCCCCCCTCTTGCAAAGCTTCGCGAAAACTTTCAGCCGGCGTACCATTTCCGTCGTACACCTTTTTCAAAGGTGTCGCGCCCTCCAACCGGAGCCGTAGAACCTAGAGTTCTGTATACACCAACTCAGCTCTCCTACGTCACGCCGCGGTGGTGGCGCGCCGGACGCACTTCCGGTCTCGGGCGGTGGGCAGAAGTCGCCGTGCCAGACATGCATTCCTGTGTTCCTTTGGAAGAAACGAGACAAAAAACCTGCCTTCTCGTCAAAATGCCGCGATGGGGGCTTTACCAAGAGAGTCTGGGAAGGTTTGAAGATCAGTTTTCATGTGTTTTTGCACCCTCCGTTCGTCCGAGAACGTGGATAGCAGCCGTGAAAAGGGCAAACCTGACGCTGTCGAACTACGATTGCGTGTGCGGGCCACAATTTGTAGTCGCCAGATGTATTTGCTTTGTTCCAACATGACCGAGAGAAAACCCCCAAGTTGTCCGGACCACCCACGGATTCAGTGCGTCTTCAAATTCACACGGCCGCCTGATCGTTCGAACTTTCGTCTGCTCTTTCAAAGTTGTCTGCTTTTTGTCGTCTGCTCGTTCAAACAAAAGCGGCCCGTAGACCAAAGTTTGACCCAGTGATTGCAATAAGAAGTAATTGCAGGCCTCAAAAGACTTAATTAAGTAGGCTCCGTGTAAACAGTAGATACAAGATGTTGATCCTTGGTACCGGTGGCCATCACCGACTTGTTACGCTTGCTCTGTTCCCGCTTCCGATTTTCAGTATCAACGTCGATCATCGCCGCTGCCTTCTACACTTTTGCAGCACGAGCGACGTCGCGACCGAAAATAGCTAGAAGAATTTTATCATGGTTTTGGCGTCCATTCTGTGGCGTTCATGCGAATAAATCGCCGCACGTAAAATTATTTATGGAAAGTTTAGCGACGTAACGAGCCTTGATAATTTCGCTCAGGCGATTAAAGTGGTAAGACATTGCGATGAGGACGTAGAATCGACAATTACAAAGCGAAAAAGAGTATGCAGACTCACACAGACGCCGACAACGTGACATTCGAATGGTTTGTTGACGCGGGACGCGGTGCTTCTTGCCCGTACTCCATTGCGCATCCGTTCGGACTGTCGTCTGCTCTTTCAAATTTAGCTGCTTTTTTTCGTCAGCTCGTTCAAACGACAGCGGCCCGTAAGCAAACGTTGACCCGGTAATTGCGATAAGAACTAAGTGCAGGCCTCAAAACACTTTTGAAGGTTGGTTGGGGTAAGTCGGCTAAGTGTAAACAGATACAAGAAGTTGTTGATCATTGTTACCAGTGGCCATCACCGACTTGTATTGCCCGATTCTACTTGAGGTTTTCAGTATCGATGTCCACCATCTCAGCTACGGTTCACGCTTTTGCAGTCCGAGCGACGTCGCGACTGAAAATAGCGAGCAGAATCTCGACGTGGGAGTCAGGCTTTAGCGCCCATTCTGCGGCGTCCACGTGAAATGAATCGCCGCACGTCACATTATCCACGCAAAGTTTTGCCTCGATAGTTTTGCTGAAGCCGCTCAAGTAGTCAGACATTGTTAGGAGGACGTAGAACCAACAATTCCAACGCGAAAAAGAGCACGGGGACTCCCACCGACGCCGACAACAACGCAATTCAATGGTCTGTTTATGGGCGACGGCGGACTTCTTGCCCACCATCCACGGCGCATGCGCGGCGCCGGTGACGTCCGCTAGGGGCGCTCCGGTTTGTTTGTAAACATGAGTTGGTGTATAGGCTCCCTACGGGAGCCAGAGTTGCGCATTTGTTTTCCCCGCGCTGCCACGCCGCTATTCGCCGAGATCCATCACGTGAGGAGCAAAGCATCCGTTGGCGTGCAAGAAAGCCGCCTTTACGGTCGCTCCGCCGACGTTCCTCTTGCCCCGGCGTATGTTTCCCTGCTTTCCGCCTCCTTTTCCTCCTCTCCTGTTTTCCATGCGCGGCGGCGCGCGCGGCGCCGCTATTCGCCACATTTAGTCACGTGAGGAGCAAAGCATCCACCTCGTGCGGGAAAGCCGGCTCTACGGCCACGCGCCGAGGCTGAATGCCCAACTCTGCTACCGTAGGTAGCATATACAGGAACTCTAGTAGAACCCCCCTGCGCAAGAGTCGGTCAAGAAGCGGGAAGGGAACTTTAAAGGGGCATACCAACAATTTTTTGACCGGTTTGAAGTTCGCGCTGAAACGGAGCTCCATGAAAGCAGGAACACCGAGGAAAACAAATATTACACAAATTCGCAATATTTTGTGAGTTATTAGCAAATTAAATATTGCAGAAAACAACTTTAAATAAGCAAAACATAGCGCTTCATGACGTAAAATGAAACAGTTTAGCGATTGGAGCAAAGCGGTTGGCCAATTGGACGCGAGTTTGGTTGATAGCCCGTCGGTCCGGTCGGCTCGTCGGCCATTAGGCCTAGCTGCAACCATCGTAGCTTTGGGATCAGGTTGCCATCATCGATGAATTTACCGGGCTTATCGGATTTTTATTGCGTATTTGGGCGTCGCGCCGTACGAGGACACTCCACGCAAGCGCCGCGTCTCTGCCTCAGTCCGCTTCGACAGCCGCGGAACACTCGTCTCCCGCAACTCCGCCACCGGAGCCACTTCGGCGAGTAGGAGGGAGAAACTGGTGAGCGGTCCCGTTGGGCACCGGTCCCGTCGCCGCACCTCACTCGAACAGTGAAAAGTCTGTCACAGCACTAAAAAAAAATAAGGGTTCCCCTGGCTCCTCTTACTGCTTTTAGTTGACCGGGACCGGGGGCGCACAAGTGAAAATACGATGCGCGTTCTGTGCACGGATCACTTGTCGTCTGCTCGCGATGGTACGTCGCGGACGCCGCTGGGAGGCGCGCATGAGCGACAGGGCGTTGTTTTCGCCCTTTTTGAACTTTACTTTGCAACTTTATTAGCTCTATAAAAATGACTTGTTAGAGAAATAATGACGGTTAACGTGTGATATACTTTATTTCGCTTCAAAATTCCTGGGACGGCTCTCGCCAATCACGAAACCCAGAGAATGTGACGTATAGTGAAAGGGAGCGCCGTTATGCGCGCGCATTCGGCACCTCGCGGCGCCACCGTCGGAGGAGGTGTTTCCGAGTTGTCAAATTAAAATACGATGCGCTAATATTTTCAAACTCTTTCGTTGTCCACTGGGTTTCCGGGACCACTAGCATGTAGAAACCGCAAAAAAAAGTCGACGCTCAAATACTGTTGCAGGGCCCCTTTAAAAAGTGGCACTCAAATCTCCTGACCCCGAATCTGACAGAGCGGAGGGTGGCCTCCGCCGAAGAGGCCTTTCACCAGCTGGAGGTTGGCTCCGCCTCGCGGAGCACGGGGTCCACTGAGATGAACACCCGCTCGTCGCGCTCTCATGCCATCTATACGCTCGCAGTGGAGTTGAAGGAACCTGGCGCCAACGACGTGACCACGTCAAAGTTCCATCTTGTGGACCTCGCCGGCTCGGAACGGGCCAGCAAGACCAAGGCTGTCGGCGACCGCTTCCGCGAGGGTGAGTGCACTGCTCTAGGACATCCTCCCTCCTGAAACCTGGTCTAAAAGCTACTCCAGTGTATTGTAGCTGCTTGCGAGAGGACGCTATGCGGAGCGCAAATGCGTCTGCTTCTTTTTGGGTGTTGTGATGACGTCGGAACACAGAGCTGAGATTTACTCCAGTTGGAAAGATGGTGGGTAGACCTCTAGGCAGCTTGCTTTGAAGTCTATCCTTCGATCAGAGCCAATCCGAGCCTGGCAGTCTGGCGTCACCACAACCCCAGCAAAAGAAGCAGACGAGCTTGCGTTCTTCACTGAGTGGAAATCAAGCGATCTCTATTTTGGACGCACTAAACACCAGTTGGAGGCTTGTTCCCGGCACCACGAGTATGGCTTTACTGGTGCACAATACGATCGCAGCCAAAATAGTAGTATGTTAAAGCGAAGCCTCATACTCCGCTAAAACCAATATTAAAGGTGCAGCTGGTGGGTTAGCTCCAGTCTTGGGTAAGTTACTTTTAAAAAGTAATTCGTTACGGCTAGTTACTAAAAAAAAGTAGCAAAGTTACCGTTACAGTTACCGCAACAAAAGAGTAACTCGTTACAGTTACTTTTAAAAAATAACATTACTTTTCAGTTTTTTCTAGAACACAAAAAAATTCGGAAAAACTCACCAAGTTTTATTGCATAAAATTAAGAAGGATGCTTTTACTTCATGTTTCATGTTCACTCGTTACAGTTACTTTTAAAAAGTAACATTACTTTTCAGTTTTTTCTAGAACACAAAAAAATTCGGAAAAACTCACCAGTTTTATTGCATAAAATTAAGAAGGATGCTTTTACTTCATGTTGGCATGTTCATGTTGGCAACCTTCATGTTGGCATGTTGGCAACCTTCATGTTGGCATGTTCATGCCTAGCAACCTAGCAGCAGTTGCTTCTCGAAATTAGTGTCCGAAAGTTCCCCTCGTTTGATGGCAAACACGAAACATGCGCAGTGTGAAGTAATGGTGCTAATCAAAGTACGAAATATGCGCCGTGCCGTCTGCATGTATTGTTGTTTCACAATTGATGCACCCAATTAAAAAGCGTTTGCGCAGAAAAAAAAGATGTAAGTGTTCAGTCACGAAGTGCGTGCGTAAAGATAACTAGATTATTTTTTTTCATCACATCTACATGTGCTATATTCGGGTCTTCACTGGCCAGAAAGAACGTATTCACAGGTTTGTGCAAGGCAAACTTGACATTCTAAATGTCTGAACAGACAATTTGGAAAGTGCAAGGAATAGCTAGGTTGCACGCCTTCAATGAAATATTATGAAACAAAAACTGGAAAGTAATAACAAAAGTAATGTCGTTATTTTCATCGTTGCCCCAGAAAAGGTAATAGAACTACGGTTACAAGTTACATTTTGAAAATAACTCATTACAGTTGCAAGCTACCAAAAAAGTAACAAAATTACAGCAACTTGTTACTACCCAAGACTGGTTAGCTCAGCCGTTAGTCGAGCAGCACTAGTGTGCGACTATACTCCGTTTCACTCTAAGCACAAGCGAGGCTGTTGATAGGCGCGAGCGTTTGGGCCTGAAAAGTGCTGGTACTGCACGACCTTGCATGCATGCTTGGCAGGAACGCTAAAAGCGTTCCTGCCAAGCACGCTCTAGCACATAGCTTTAGCTTCATAGCTCTAGCTTCATTGCTGCACAGATTTGCCCTTTAGAATAGTGATGCAGCGATGCTGCAGGCCTTGCGCCAACATCTGGATGTCGCACAGACACGACGACCGGCATTGCCATATCCCTCTTAGATATTTCGGTTTCACCGTAGATCTAGAAACCAAACGTTGAGTTGCCCTTTAAAGGGCGACTCCGGTCGAAAACAAAACCAAAGTAAATGACTGGTATTGCTTTAGTGGCACCAGCCGAAATATTGCGTCAAAATGATGCCGCATACTCCACCAAAACCAATTAACCCCGTAAGTCATGACGTCACAACATGGCGTCTCGGTCCAAACAAACCGTTGCTAGGGACGTTGCTATGGAGACTCCACATGAGGCTAGATTTTTGCTTACAAGGAAGTAAATAAGTTTTTCTAAGCAACCTAACTTCTTGATATCTAATTATGAAGATGTTCTTGTCATCTCTGTCGTATCGCAACGATGAAAGCCATTCTGAAGTCTTACACTCCACTTTGCTTTGGTAGCAGACGACACGATAGATTTGCTGGTCTCTGTTGCAGCGGGCGTCTTCATTGAATTGCGTCGGTAAACGAGCGACAAAAACAAGTGCATCGCCATGGCCGCATTGGCCTCCGCAATGTGCGTTTTTTTTTTCTGTGAAGAACCCAGCTTAGTTACGAGGGGTGAAAATGCAATAAAATCAAACCGCGTCATTCAGATCACTTACGACGACGACCTGAAGTGCATTACCGGCGTAGTGCAGGCCAGCATGAGAAACAAATCGTACGCCGTCAATGTAAGTCGTTTGTTATTATTATTGTGGTTGTCAGGTTATTAAAAAATTGCATGTCTATCACGATTTCGCAGTATTTCTTTTCCTTGCTATACATCAAATTCCGTGGATGTGCTCTTTTGGTGAAGATCTCTATCAAACCCGCGGTGCGAGTACAATCTGTAATAAACTCACCTTATGTTTTTATCCAGTTCTTTCGCGCTTTGGGGTCTTGCGGAAATCTGAAGAAACTGCAAGAATCTTTCTCCACGCGATGGTTACAACCAATACCTGGTTGTAACCATCGCGTGGAGAAAGATTCTTGCAGTTTTTACGAAGCACCCTCGCATAGCGCGAGTCCGCAAACAAAATTTGGGCTCTCAACGTTCGCCTGAAGTGCTTTTCTCACGGGTGCAATGCGCTCTTTTAGCAGACGATCATCTCGATCGATGCCCGGACTTTCGATAAACCATATTTTGCATCGCGCCCCACTATGAAGTCTTATAAGTGTCTGAAAGTCATTATATTTCAAACAAATGCGATGTCAGAATATCGTCTTTATTCACACGATTCAAACGACGGCCCCGGCTTGGCCGGCTGGAGTGCGGCAGACGGCATATTTCTTGCATCCGTCGTCTGCTGCAGGCATCTTGAGGACCGGAGCAGGTTGTATGGTCCAGTGGGCTAGAAATTGACTGCAATAATCTAATTTCTGACTTCGAAGTGCGGATGAAGAATTAGGAAGCTGTAGTTGCATCTGGACTGCCACTTGCTTTAACAAATGAACGTGAACATTTTTTTTTTATCTTCATTTGGAAGTTTCGATAGCTTATATATCAGCTTGCACTTGCAGAATTTACATTTGACGACCTTTCCGCTGTTAGCAGATTGCACCCAGCCTGTAAGAAGTATTCATGAAAAAAATATGGGTGAATAAAAGCGTGGACTGCTAAACCAAAGAAGCAGTCCAGGAAACAAGTGAACGTGCTGGAATCAGTTGGTGAACCATCCGAGTACTACTTGCATGCATTGCAAGCAAAGTCAACTGTGAAACCAATCACGGTAACATTCGTGGTACATGGACTTCCCATTGAGATGGAGCTCGATTCGGGATCCCCTGTCTCGCTGATCTCCGAGGATGCATACCTGAGCCATCAGAGAAGTCTGCCTAGACCAGCTGAAACAGACATCAAGCTCAAATGCATGCAAAAGCTTGAAGACTTGTAGGATGCAACTACTATCAAGGTTAAGCTGGCATGTACAGGGTGTCACAAAAGAAAATTTACAAGTTTTTATTTACCGCAAACATAAACTAGGCATCGCTGAACGCTCATTCTCCGCCCAAAGGTAACGCTAGAGGTCACAACCAGATGCCAAAGTTTCAGCCCGTTTTCGGTTTCTGGTGCCATAGCCCCATGTGTTCGAAAATTCCGTCGGCCGCCATTTTCCCATTGAACTTTTCAGAAAATCGCATAACTTTTGATTGAGGTATCGGAACAGGCTGAAACTTTGGCATCTGGTTATGACCTCTAGCGCTGCCTTTGGGCGGAACGGCCTTCGGAGATGCCTAGTTTATTTTTGCGGTAGAAAAGAAAAAAAAACTCTGTAAATTTGTTTTTGTGACACCCTGTACATCTTTCATGTTTATAAAAACCTAAGAAAAACGTTTGTTACCTTTTTTAAATTCAAATTTTGCGATTTTCATTTCCTTTAAACTAAGTAGTCGCACAAATTACTTTTACTGTACGGTGCTTTAAAAAGAGTGAATTGGCAAATTTTACTAGGCCCTTTTAAGTGGAGAACATAATAGCGCTTCACGACAGGGACGAAGAGTAGGAACGAGACAACCCTGCTCTTTGTTCCTGCTCTTTGTCCCTGTCGTGAAGCGCTCTTATGTTTTGCAAGTTTCAGTAGCAACTCGCGCATGAATCCGCATTACTCAACCTTTAAGTGTGTTGCCATGCCCCACGTGCATGCAAGATCATGGTTTCTTTTGCACATGCAGAACATGAAAAAACAAGCTGTATCAAAATCAACACCACATTTATGCGGAGGATGCCAAGCTCTATAAAGCGGAAATTTCGTTCACTTATTGCAGACATCAAAAAAGCTTTTTTCTGGTGCATGTTTCCTTAAAGGAAGCTGAAGCGGTTTTAAATACAAGAAAAAAAACACCCTAGCATAGCTCAGCCATCACGAATATCGTATTCGTTTGGTAATTTTATGCGCGGATTAATGGGAAAAGCGTCTTCAAAGTAGCGCTGAAGCCACGCTTCTCCAAAGCAGACACAAAGGGGAGAGACGAGGAAGCCCATCAGCCGACGGCACGAGAAGACTGGCTGGGGGACCCCGCCGGCGCCTGATCTCACTTCCCTTTTTTCGAGCCGTCGTCGTTTAGAAAAAAAATTGGGTTGTGTGTATGCTTATACAGCCTAGAACTTGGTCTGCCTCAATGGGCGACGAGTCTCCCAGCTGTAGATGAGAACCAGTGCAGTACAACCGCTAGCCTGGGGTCTTCATAACGTGCATCACGCAGTAGTGATACACGGCTCATTCAGACCGAAATGGGCAGGGTGGGGATCGAACCTAGGATCCCTAGGTTCTTCCCGCTGCAGAATGCCCAGGGACCCTTTTGAACACAGCATCCCTGGGCAGTCTGCCGCTGCATAGTGCTTGCTTTTATCCGTTGCCCGGTCGTCTGACGTATTGATTATTCTCTTGTTTGTTCACGAGTTTGCGAAATTCTCGTGGCACCGAAGCAAATGACTCGTGCTGTTGAACGATGCCGGAACACGTTTCCGTCCGGAACGTGTTCCGGACGGCGCGTATGAGAACAATATACTTATGGGTTTGGGTCTGAAGAAGGCTCTACTAAACCCGACGCTCTGCCAACCATCTTTGAACGTAAGAAGGGGATTAAAAGGCAGGCGCAAAGAGGAAACGAAACTAGGTAGGAATTTTTGGTCGACTCTTCTAGAAAAAAAGCTTGTTAAGATGTTAGTTTTGTACATTGTACCAAAAAATCCGCGATCATGTAGCCAAATGGCCGGCTTCCACTGTCTTTCGTGTCAGCCGCATCATTAGTGTTTCAGTTTTGGTTTCTTATATCGTTGAAGTGACCATATTTCCGGGACCGACTCCGCTACCCAAGATTGTTTTCTTTCGTTTTGAACCTGATCTGCCGCCCAGTCGCTTGGGAGAGGAGGGCTTGTTGTAACAAGTGGTCATGCAATTCATCATGCAACTTTCACGGTGCAACTTGTTTTAGCATGGACTTTTTTGTTTTACAGTTGCTGATACTATTTGAGGTCATCATTCTTAAAATGAACACAAATTTTGTTAACTTTCCCTTCCATAGGTTCATATTCTCTTCAGGAGCACTTTTTGGAGATGCAAAGCATGTGACATTTTGTTGTTAATTCAGTTCTCTTTTTACAAGTTATGCCGTGTATTCCGTATAGTTTGGATCGCCCGATCGCATTGCCGTAACAATGCGATCGGGCTATGATAATGCTAGGTGGTGGTCTAATGCAGTCAACAAATCTTGGGAGAAGTATGTGAATGTACAGGCCCAGGAAACTTTCACGAATTCAACATTAAATTGAGGGCTGCCGGGCTCCGCTTTCTCTAAGACTGTAATTGCGTAAGAATTAGAGGCAAACAAACTAAACAGGGTACCGCTATCACAAGGATGGACCCTCTGTGCAGTTATTCGCGTAGTATGCAAGGACATGGCGGTGTCAGAGCGGTGACCGTCTCATCACCCGTCTCATCTCGAAAAGCTCTTACCGAAGCCGATTATACTATCCCTTCAAACCACCTCAGCCTTGGTTAACAGTGCAGCTTGCATGCTCACGTGTCCAGCAGCTGCCCAGCATGAAGGCTGAGGTGTGCCGAACTCTTGTCCTCTGACGATTGTTTTGGGGAGGGTCACGCTAATCCGGCCTGACGCGTCCGGTCGATAAGTTTATTTTCAATGTTTTACGTTACAATAAGTAGCAGTCGATACGTTTCTGAACGTGTGAAGCCGCCCATGTCGCGTCGGCGCAGGTGGTTTCTCGTGTCTGCCCTTATTACTGTGGGGAGTCAATTTTCTGCTCTGCCAATGGCTGGAACGTCGAGGGTCTCCTGGACACTTCCTGTGCCGATCCACCGAAAGATTTCGAGAAATCTGAAGGCGAACCCCAACAACCAAAGCAGAAGTCTCGGCTACTTCTGCAAGCGAGAATCGAGATGGTCCTCTTACAACGTTATAAAGGGAAGCTCTTCAGCTTCCCTTTAATTCATACAGTTTATGTGGTTCATTTGCTAATGATCACTTTAGACTCTCTTCCCAATGTCTGCCACAGTAGGTAACGTTGTACCAAAAAAAATCAATTCTTTCTTTTTTAACTTCGTCATTTTTGAAAATATGCAGATTTAAAGAGGTACGGAAACGAAATTTTAGCGCCAATCTTTCTGCATAAATATGGGCTAGGGACAGGCACCACCTCGGAAATATCAATATCGCGCTGTAAACCACACGAAAACTAATTTCAAACCTAATTAAACGATTTCAAATTCACATCTGGTGGATGGTGGGAAAGTTCTCGTGACATCACTTGTGGCATAGGAACAGCGCCGTTCTGCGGCAATACGGCGTGCCGGCAGAATTAGCGTAGGCCTGAACGCATTTGCAAAGCCTTGGCGGAGAAAGCCAAAGCGTAGTTGGCCACAGTGAGCTCGTTCACGTTGCGGCTCTTTGCACGACACGACCCGAGCGCGCTTCTGGCACGGCCGGTATTACCTAGTTGCTGCGGGTCGCGAGCCGACGTTAAAAAAGATATGTTTGAACAAAGTGTCAGCAAGAGCCACGCAAATACCTGGTCACACTCGGAGCGGACACGCGCGTTTGATCGAAGTGCTGGATTCGCTCTGTTAGACCGCGTTTCGGTACGCGCTTCTGGACCGATCTTTTACTATTGCAACTCGATACTGATATGACACTCGGCAAAGAAAGGTTGGACCGACATCGTATAGCTCCCACGAACTCCTATAGCTCGACAGTGACGTAGCGTCGTGTCAGAATAAAAATGGCATAGTGTACATACCGTGTTGCGAAGGTAATCCGTATGGCGTTTATTTGAGCTCTATATCACACAAAACATGGAGATAGAATCAATGAGAGTTCCTTTTCGACGACAGCGTTCTTCACCGCTGTCTCGGAAAACAAGGAGATCTAGATGACAAGGAGAAAAGACTGACCTCTGAAATTTAGTTCAGGGATCAAACTATTCATCCACAAAGGTCGCGCGGGCATCTTCCATTCAGCAGGCCAGCCGGTCATGGGCAGACGGTCTTGGCCAAGGACCGCCGGAGCAACGGTGCGCCGAGTCGGTGTTGCTGCTAGGCCTATTATATTCTGCCGAGCTCGCTTGGTCGGTAGAATCGTGGCCGCTGTAGCTCTTCTCGGGTGTTTGTGGATCCTGCGTTCTTGATCGTCGTGGCCTGTTTCAAGTACTCCTTCCTTTTTTCTTGCTGGTTGAAGTCGGGACGCACGAGGAGAGCACGTAGAAAAATAAATGTCCGTTGGTCGTCGCTACCAAGTAACTGAGCGACGCTGTCGGCCATGTTGATTTGATCGTAAAAGCTGCGGAGCTGTCGTAGGATTCTGTCGTAACCTGCGCAAAAGTTACGACAATTTCGTTTCGAGAATACGGGTTTTCTCAAATTTGTCGTACACGTTATGAGTTCGCTTTGAGAACCCGGCCTCATCAGAGCTGTTTTTGTCACTGGTGCCGTGGTTGCCGATTTGCCGTGATGCAGCGTGCGTGCAGCCCTTGCACATCTCAAACGGCCACGTTGTCACAGGTCGTAAATCGTCGACGCGCCACCAAGTGGCAACGCTCGTAACCACAACATCTATGCCGTAGCCTTTCCCGTCAGGCACAAGTGACGCCACGAATGCGCCCAATATCCCAAGACGCATCGCGCTCTCCGATGACTGATTTTTGAGCGAGCACCCAATAGGGCCCCTCAGGGAGAAAAATATAGCCATCCGTTCAAAATACAAACGCGCGATTATGATTTACTGATATCATTGATCATATTGGACCTATTTCTGACCATAATAGGTGTATTTCAAGTTTCGCTTCAGTATCCCTTTAAAGCCTGCCAGGGATACTAGATAGCTGGTGCCAGCCTCTTCTCTTGTCACAAGCGTTAGCAATGCAGTCAATACCCTCAACGCAAATATGTGAGCCAGTCGTAGCTTTTGCAGCTGTGTTTGGGACTGCCTGCAAGATGTTATCAGACCACGAGTTCCATATCTTGTCTCCCAGGCGTGCAGAACAACCTGGGGAACGTCATCAGCGCGCTGTGCGACGAGAGCGGCCACATCCCGGGATTCAAAGCTGACACGTCTCCTCCAAGGTACTCGGGGTGTTTCTTCCTCTCTTAAAAGGACTAAAAACTGTTTTTCGAATGGCCCGGATAGAATGCATGTGTGACTCCTTTCCCGAAGAAAGTGTTATCAGACCACGAGTTCAAGCTTGTCTCGATTGTACAGGGAGCTACCGAGAAAAAAAAGAATGGTGTTTTCTGGCCCGGGTGAATAAAGTGCATCGCAGAGTGCTCGAGCTCTGCAAGAGTGCTCGAGCTCTGCAAGAGTGCTCGAGCTCTGCAAGAGCGCTCGAGCTCTGCAAGAGTGCTCGAGCTCTGCAAGAGTGCTCGAGCTCTGCAAGAGTGCTCGAGCTCTGCTCGAGTGCTCGAGCTCTGCAAGAGTGCTCGAGCTCTGCAAGAGTGCTCGAGCTCTGCAAGAGTGCTCGAGCTCTGCAAGAGTGCTCGAGCTCTGCTCGAGTGCTCGAGCTCTGCAAGAGTGCTCGAGCTCTGCAAGAGTGACTCTAGTGGTTGTTCAACGTGAATGATTAGACACGTTTGCCTAGGTCAAAAAGTAGTTGATAAAAACAAAATTTTCTCCGAGCCGACGTCTAACTAAGCCTAATATCGTCAGAAATGACATTGTCGGCATGTTGTACATTTCAGTGAAACACTTGTCAGCAACAATCTTTTCTTTCTGACAAGTTTGTTTCACCCGTATGAATGCAACAAGCGTTCACAATAACATTTTTGTTTGAATGATATTAAGCTCTGTGATATCCACCCAAAACGAATTGACGCATGTCATACCATTCATGCAAAGTTTTGCAATGTAACGAGCCTTGTTAATTTTGTCAGTTAACAAAATAGCCGGACAGTGCTAGGAAGATGTAGAATCGTCGGTTTCAACAAGAGAAAGAGAATGTTGCCGTTGCCATGAAACCCAGCCTTATGACGCATTCAGCATTAATTTTTTTTTGTTTTTTTGCAGAAGTTTACAATGATTTTTTTATGTGCAAACGTATAAGCATGTTTCGGTGTCTCGGCTGAATCAGAGTGGCAATGTTAATATTGACTAAACATTTTTTTTTTAGGAAAGTTAGTTTCGCGAGATGCATCTTTAAGGGCCGGTTGCACCAACGTCGCTTATCTTAACCCAAAGCGGCGCTTTCCTAAGCCGGCTTAGCGCCCTAAACCGAGCTTAGGTAAGCACGGGTTTAAATTCCGGTTGCACCAACGTTAAGCCGGCTTTACAGACGCGCCCCTAGCTAAACGCTGGATTTGCGTAGGGAATCTAGGGACAAACAGAGCAAACTAGGGAACGCTCAGAGCGACGAATACGATTGGCGGAGAGGAATCACGTGATATAAACAAAACAAAAAAAAGAAAAAAGAAAAACTGCGGTAGTAGTCGTCGTCGGCGTCTGCTTTTCGCTGTATTTCTTCGGTGAGTAACAAATTAAAGGTCTCCAAATTCAATCATTTTTTCGTTTAACTTTCAATAACAGAAGTCAAAGCTTCAAATAAACACGAATGCTCTTTACATCTGTGATTGTGTGTTTAATATCGGTTGATAACAGGATATTTTGACAGTGGTAGTAGTTTTCGTGCTCACATTTTGAGGCGAAGGAGCCATCGGGGGCCCCAAATCTCACCAAACGCGAGAAGGACACTCTACTCGCTACATCGCTGAAGACAAAACATCATGGATATAAGTAGGCAGGTAAGATGACTACTAAAACCAAGTCAAGCCTGAGACCGATGAAGTTCAAAACAGTGACGAACTCGCCACGGCAGCTGCGAAAATGCCCGGAAATCGTCGAATAGAAGTCGTCAAGAGGTCAGGTCACGAGACCTTGCATCGACGGTACTCGTTGCTATCAGCAAGGTGACAGAACTGCACTGTACCGTCGTTGAACATCCGCTGCAGCCTCAAACGGACTTCAGTTTCACACTGTCGAGTTCAGAAAAAAAAAAAAAAACTCCCTCTAGTACGTCACATCGTGCCGATAAGAACGGTCGTCTCTTCGCATCACCTGCCCCAGCCTGCCCCGATACAGCAATGCACGAATCTAACATAGTAGTCGTTACGATTTGTCGTCGCCACGAATGAAAGATATAAAGCAAAAATATTCCTAAAAAATCGCGATCACCAAAAAAGTTACGGAGGACACAACAAGGCGCAACTTTCAACTTAATTTTATTGAAAACGTGTTCCGGTATATAGTCTCAACCATCGTCACAATGACAACAAACGACAAAAGTAAAGGGAAAACACCATCACAGAGCACAACTCGGAAACAACAGTATCCCGTTCTCGGGAAACGAATGATATAAAGCAAAGTATATAAAAAAAATGCGATCACCAAAAAAGTTACAGTTATGGAACGATACAGTTTTCTGAAGCCAAGATTCTACTCGCGAGATAAGGAAAATTCACTGAAGATTGTCTCAAAACTCAGAAAACGAAAGAAATTGAATTTTCACTGTTTTATTACTTAAAAGCGCCGCAATCTAATGCAAACGGCAGAGGTGTCGACAATCAGCTGATCGCCGAGATCATGTACTGCCACTATTCAACGCGCTGATCAGATTGAAGGATACGCGCTGCAAGTGTAAATAAACAAGGTGGTAAATAAGAATACGTTACAGCTATGCGAAAATTAGTAAGTACATACGAATAAGCTCGTTGACAGAAGAACCAACGGGAATACAGACGTGAGCCCCACAGCTCCGTACGTTTCTCGGTTAGGGCTAACACGCCCTGAAAGTGGAGAGCCAACTTGAAAACAGGGGTCGATAAACACTTCACGCGACAATATTTTGCATCCTTGTCACAATCGAAAGTCATCTTGTCGAGGCTTTCACGCTGATGTAGCCTAAAACACTTTGCACAACCAATTTCGTCCACCGCGTCGACCGTGACAAACCAGCCGCCATGTTTTTAATCCAGGATTAAGAAACAACCAGAAGCAAAGCGCCCAATGTTGGGCGCTTAAGTTAAGCGTAGTTTAGTGCTAGGTTTAGCGATAAGCGAGTTTGGTGCAACCGAACGAAACCGAAACTAAGCTTAAGTTCCCGGCTAAGCTCCGCTTTGCGCTAAGCGACGTTGGTGCAACCGGCCCTAAGACTACTCTAAGATATGCAGGCTTAATTACGCTTACGTCGGAAATCATGAGCAACCAGCTCGCCCAAAACAGCACTTTTCGCCACAGTTGTGCTTAAACTGGCAGAACTGTTAGGTGTGGGGACCCGTCAAAGTAATTTGGGGAACATTAGGTTCCTAGGAACCTAGCTTGGGAGCCTACGTTCCTGGCGACGAGCCTCTGCCTTCCTCCTCCGTCTCTGCACAGGGGCGGCACACCGTCATGATAGCGTGTGTGAGCCCGGCCGACTACTATTGCGACGAGACCCTGAACACGCTGCGGTACGCGGACCGAGCACGCAAAATCAAGAACCGGCCCGTCGTGAACCAGGCGGAGATCCTTCGGCTGAGGCAGCGGGTGAGTGCGCAAGTTATTTTACACTGCGTCGAGGAGATGGCTGTCGGTTGTGAAGGTCTCTCGAACCTGTTGGAGTAGTGCCTGCTAATGAACGTAAAAAAATAATTTAAATCGGATTTCTTCATTTAAATCGGGTATACAGCATCGTTATTTCGACATCGGTTAACTCGACTTCTCGTTTAATTCGATCCTGCTCAAAAGTGCCGGCGAGTGCGCTATGGGAGGAAACGTTCGATAGTTGCAACTCGGAAAGACTCCGCAGCGGATAATTCGTCCCGAGCGCATGTGCGCGGGGTCACATTGCACGGCACCACCGCAGAAAAACCACCAACGTACCGCGAAACCCTTTGCTGCAAAGCCGAACGTGCGCAAATATGCGCCTCTACGCCGTTGAGATGGACCGTAGCGAATGACACGAGCCAGTGCAACCAATCTGGCGTGGAGTAGCGCGGAGAACATAGTACGTGGTCGGGCGCGCACGAGCCAACGCGCGCTCTTGAAGCGTTTTTTTTTTTCCTCTGAAGCATAGTGTGCGCTCCATCTTGCGCACCGGAAAGCGTAAAGCGCGATCCAAACCAACGCTTCTTTTTGCGCATGTAGGTCGTGCGGCTGCGGATGTGACGCATTTTCGTGACGTCGCGCCGCTTCTTCGCTCCTTCCGGGCGCGCACAAGAAAGTTGGTTGATTTCAACTTCTTTCTCAACGCGCACAAAAACGTGCGGTGACGTAGTAGGGCGCTCCTGTGTCCCGGCCAATCGGTGGAGGGCAAGCTAGTTCCGGCTCTGCGTTTCTCGCCGTCTGGCTGCCCTCTCCTCCCCCCCTTTTATTCTCTTCCAAGATGACAACGCGATCTCTCTCTCTCTCTCTTCCTCTCGCCGTCTGGCCGGCCAGTCTGTCGCAGTTGCACTTTGCTTGTGCGCTCGTGCCTGCGTGCGCGCGTGCGCGCTCGCCCGAAGTTTCGCCCGTCCAAACCAAGGCGCACGGTTCTGACTCAGAAAGCGCGCCCGGAAACAGCAAAAACGCCACGAAATGCGTCACATCCGCAGCCGCACGACCTACAGGCGCAAAAAGAAGCGTTGGTTTGGATCGCGCTTAAGTTCTCTTTTCATTTGTCGCCGACGGTTTGGCTGCCCGGCGCCAAAGTCAGCATGAAGCTTTCTCAGCGAGCGCTCTCAAAGCGCTACTCTGTGGCATCCTGTGCGGTCCATCTACGCGTTGGAAAACGCGAATTCTCTTGAGACGTTGCCTGCTCTTTTTCTACCTTCTGTTGTGTTCTCTTTTCTGCTCCAGTCTCAGGTTTACAATCATGTTCAACTTACACCAGCTGGCCTGCACTCTGACTATTTTTTCGCGAATTCTCTCTTCCCTTTTTTTTTTCTTTTTGCCGCCGAGCCGACTTTGGCACGGCGCCAAAGCCAGCTCGTAAAACTTACTTTTTTCGTTTCTTTCTTTTTTTCTTATTTTTCTTTTTTTTTTTCTTTGTAGTGCGCGATTTTTTGGCCAAATTTCAAGGTCCTGTGGAGGTCAAATTAACGAAAGTTTACTGTATTTGGTTTCGACTAGGTTTATTTGGTTTATATCAAGTTTATTTGATTTAAATCTGGTTCATTGGATCTAAATTGCATTTAAACCAGACTAATCTGATTTAAACCATTGTAGCTAGGAAATAATAATAATAAATCTTTATTTTACGTGCCCACAAACAACTTTACAGTCTATGAAGTGGTGCACACAAAGAAAATTAGAACACAGCACTATATCAAACATTAAAATACTTGTCACAATGAAAATATAAACAGATAACAGAAACTGAAAGACTATACAGAACCCGCCTTACAATAGCTAATTCAAGGGCATCCACTTTCGCACATAAAACATAAACTGGTTTGAACAAAGAAAAATGTCAAGATGGGTCTTATTAAATGCTAATTGGATTCTCGATAAAGGAGACACAGATGACATACAAGATGGGTAAAAGATTAGCACATTCCTACTGACCCTTGACGGAACATGAAAGTCTATGAAACGCGACAGATCAATTGAATTCACTTCTCCGTGTACAACTTTGTGAAGAAATATAAAATCTCTGTGTTGCCTCCGCACAGCAAGCTTGTGCAACGCAAATCGAACAAGTAACGTTTCATTATGGTAAAAATATTTCCTTCCAGTATAACGGTCATACACAATTCTAATCATTCGTATTTGTATATTTTCTATTGAAAGAGCCTGAGATAACGTTAATGAATTCCAAATGATTGAGCCAAATTCTAATCTTGACCTCACTAATCTTTTAAACAAGTGCAGTAAACAACGGGGCGTAGAAAACTGGCAACACAACCGTGAAATCATTCCCAACACTCTCAGTGCTGCATAGGTTCTTTATCGGTACTAAATTTGTTTTAAACAGGACAGATAGACTGAGCAATCTGTCCAATCGCTCAAAACAGTACAGAAGAAAGAATTACTGTACATCTGATAATTCAATGAATGTCTTGTTGGTCTAGACCCTGCCATTTTAGAACAAAAGCAGCTTGATTTTTAGTTAGTGTGACATGCTTCATTTGCTTTTTGTTTTTCATCCAGATTGGCTTGCAATACGACATTACTCGTTTTCATTTTTTTCACGTTTTGATTTGTTTACAATATTGTCACGAATGACAAGTGATGAGGCAGCGAATGACGTTTAATGGGGCGAACTCGTGCCCAAAAATGAAAAAAAGGGAACACAGGAAAGCAGAGCATTGCGGGCGTCGAAGACGGCGTAAGAGCAGAGTCCAACACTGGGGCGAGACTGACTCCGGCTCGCCCTTTCGTACACGCGTGGGCTTCTGGGACAATCGGCCTGGAAGATTCGGCGCGTAGAACATTCTAACCTAGAACAAGCAACACGGTTGGTTCTCAGAATTACGAGAAATCGAAATTCAAGGAAGGAATTCCCAGGAATTGGACATTCCTGGGCTACCGCACAAGAGTCAAGTGCGGGAACCACTCGGCCAAGCACGCGCTCGCTCGCCGACACGCATGGCAATATGGCGAAACAGCCAAGCGGAGTGGATGCTCCAATTTGCTAAGAGTGCTGCATTTTTTTCTTTGTAGAAATTATTTGTCTAGTAGCTTTTGGATTTAAATGGAAAAATGCACAGTGTGGGTCACGAAATATAAATATAAAAACATATCCGGATAATTTGAGGGAAGCGTTTGTTTACGAGAGCACAACCGGTGTGATCACAATTTACAACTCAATTTAAATTGTTGATTTTTATTCTCCACCCTCCGTCCAAAGTCGAGATCACAAATAATAAACCGTCTGAAGTTCTCTTGAAAAGAGAGTGCCTTCCTTTTTTGCGATGCCGTTGTCAATGGGCGCAAAGCGCACATACTCGGAAACAGCACGGTTCACGCAATCGAGCGGAACAGAAACTAGAAGCGTGCATAAGGGAACACCTTGTGCCAGAGAAAGATGAAACCATCCGAGCAGTGCTCCAAGGTGGGCAAGAAGGGAAGCTGTGGCAGAGCTCAACAAAGCCCAGCAAGGAGACGGCGTCTGCGTGGTCTACGTGTGCTGTGCGACTTGCATTGCATGGTTCGGCTTTGCTCCACTAGCTTCGCTTTGAAGCCAGTGCCTGGCGCGCCGAGGCGCCGGGATGCCGACACTTTTGGACAGAACAGCCGGGAAAGCAAATGTAATATGTATCTCTATGGAAGTAAAACGAGATCGGCGTTTTGGCCGTAACAGTTGGGTAAACATATGAACTGAACGTGTCGATGAGGTTGCATTAATTGGTACATTTATTAAGAGGAAATGAAAACAAAACAAGATAGCTTAATTTTTGTACAATTAAAATCTTTTTTCTTTTTTCGGCTTGAAACATTTGTTGGTGTTGCTAACGACCCATAGGTAATGCTTAACATCAACCATGAACGAAATGCAAACAGCGGAACGCGTGGCCTACGATGCATGCTGTGCAACCTTGAGGCGACTAGGAACCAACTCCGGGATGGAGAGGGGGCTGCAAGAGTGTGTGCTTACCCACTCTGCAGTTTTAATCGGTTCCTAGTTGCCTCTAGGTTGCGCAGCATGTCCAAGGACACGCGCTCGACCCATCTCCGCCAATCTCTCGACGATATCGTCCTACCCGAATTTTTCTCGTCTAGAAAACATCACTCGATTCAACGAATGCTAAGCGCCACGTGTAGCAGCGGTGCATTTGTGTGCCTCACCCTTGCCGGTTCAGAAAGCGTCATTTTGCGAGGAAATTCGGGTCTTGAGAGCATATTTGCACTTTTCATCCCAATTGGATTGGAAATGACCCTAAGTCATTCGGGACCAGAGCAAGTTTCACGATTCTTGCCAGCAGTTCGAACGAGATATATTACTTCCGTGGCAGACTTGCACAGCAAAGGTCAATACTTGTAGACAAAAAAACAAAAAAACTCTCCGTTGTATAAACAGTGTGTCTGGGGGGGACCAGGAAAACCGCGAATTGTCAGGGAAATTTTAATTACCGGAAATACAGGGAACTGTCAGGGATATTGTCAAAGGGCAAGCTCGCATATTTGCACTTAGCAAACGGTAATTGCAGTAGCTGCATTCATTTCATCCCAATTGGATTGGAAATGACCCTAAATCATTCGGGACCAGAGCAAGTTTCACGATTCTTGCCAGCAGTTCGAACGAGATATATTACTTCCGTGGCAGACTTGCACAGCTAAGGTCAATACTTGTAGAAAAAAAAAACAAAAAAACAAAAAAACTCTCCGTTGTATAAACAGTGTGTCTGGGGGGGGGGGGGACCAGGAAAATCGCGAATTGTCAGGGAAATTTTAATTACCGGAAATACAGGGAACTGTCAGGGATATTGTCAAAGGGCAAGCTCGCATATTTGCACTTAGCAAACGGTAATTGCAGTAGCTGCATTCATTTCATCCCAATTGGATTGGAAATGACCCTAAATCATTCGGGACCAGAGCAAGTTTCACGATTCTTGCCAGCA